CCAAGACTCCAATTCACTAAATGATCTAAATTCTTTTGTAAAGCAGCATCCTCTTCACAGCCAGCAACACCCAAGATCTTAATATCATACAATGAAATTATAACCTCTTTAGACCTGTATTCAATATTTCTGTACATACAATATAAAATCCTATTTGACCTACCACTAGCAACAGCACACTACTTGAATAGCTTAATAAGAGAATGATCAACCACTACATCAAGATCCATTTCTTTCATAACTCTGTTAAGGTTGTTCTCATCTACATTATACATATAATTCAAATTATGATAACCGAAATGCATTATCTTGCATTTATTATAATTAAAACTCATCTGCCATTTATTTGCCCAATTCACTAAATGATATAAATCATTTTATAAAGCAGCAACATCTGCCTCACAACCAGCAACACCCAAGACTTAATATCATCAGCAAGATGAGCCACTTGCTACTATTTTTGTTAGTTCTTGAATAGTGGGCAGGTACTAGAGGATTGGAAGTTAGCTAATGTAACTCCTCTTTCCAAGGGAAATAATATAAATTGCCCCAATAATGATAGCCCTATTAGTCTTACATCAGTTGTGGAAAACGTTTTGGAAAGTCTGATAAAAGATGCTTTACAAAGTCATTTAACAAAGTTTAGAATTGTAGTGGACAGTCAACATGGTTTGACTAAGGGAAATGTTTTGAAAATGTTACTGCTTATATAGATGAAGGTAAGAGCGTAGATTGGTGCATCTGGTTTTTCAGAAAGCATTTGACAAGATGCCACATAAAAGGCTTATAAACATTTTCTCTATAGGTGTGGAAGTTAAGTTAGCTAATTGGATAGAAGAGTGGCTTATTATTAATAGTGTTCAGTCAAACTAGATTAATGTCATAAGTGGGGTACCTTAGGGCTCAGTTTTAGGCCATTTGCTCTTTTTGATGTACATCAATGACATAGATGAAGGAGTGATCAATAAATTACTTAATATCCAATCCTTAGCCTCTTTCAAAAACCTTAGGAAAATTATATCAAAATTAATAATTAATAAGCTCATAATTAATGCAGTCATCTTGTTCAATCTTCTGTTCATCTATCAACTGTTAAAAATGTGGAATACTGCTTAAATCTTCGTTAGTAAAAACTAAAGAAAAAGTAAAATTCAATAATCCAACCATCATAATCACGGATACGAGCATTCCTTTGTAGTCTCTTAAGGGTACTATCCCATTCTAAGATTTTGTTTACCCTTAACGTATTTAAAGAAATCCTTACTGTAAAGTTTTACATTTTTAGCCAACATTTTTTTTCATTCATATTTTCTACTGTCTTAATTTCCTGTTTAACCAACTTTCTTGATCTTTCCCGTCATGCCAGTTAATTTAAATTTATTAAATTTTAGATATATTTTTAAATTTTATCTCTTATAAACTTTGTAAGCCAACCTGGTTTTTACTTGCAGACACCATTTCCT